CCCTTCACATCAGACTTTGGGCAACCGAACTGTGTTTTGGAGGGACAGGAGATGTTCAAAGAGTGGTTTCCTCCAGGCGGGGATGGAGAGGCAAATCAGGGGGGGGGCTCGCTGCCAAGTCGGACCTCAGTCACAATAGTGACTCGACTTGCAATCAACGACTCCTACTCATCTCACAACTCAGAATTCACCCACCCCTCCCATTTTCCTGGCTGGGGGGGGGGGGGGGGGNGGACCTCAGTCACAATAGCGACTCGACTTGGAATCAACGACTCCTACTCAACTCACAACTCAGAATTCACCCACCCCTCCTATTTTCCTGGCTGGGGGGGGGGGAAGAGGAATCTTGTTTTCAATAATAGAGGCTCAGACACGGGGTCTGGAACTCAGGACTTGGTACCCGAGATTTGGACTCAGACCCAAAGACTTGCCAATATTCCTGACCCCAGATGAGTTTCCATGGCTGAGTGGGGTTTTGAACCCAGATCTCTTGGACTCTGATCCAAGGGCGGGATAGAAATCTAATAAATAAAATAAATAATAATAAACCCTCCACCCTCTACACCTCTTAACACTCACGAGGGCTCATAGGGGAAGATCATGGTATAAAGAGGTGCTAAGGCATTAAAGCCCACCCCAAAGCAAACACCCCACTTTCCCCCCTTCTTCCAGCACCCCTTGCCCTGAGATTTATCTTTCCAGGAGATAAATTCCCTAAGTTCTCAGTGCCACCCACCCGCTTGAGATTTGACAACCTGTCCCCTTCCAGCTATTCCTTACCGAATTTCTTGGCTATTCCTCTCCCTTGGAGGACAGCATTCTTGGCTTTATGTAGCCTTCCGTGATGTATTGACACTTGGGTTTTGTTTCTGGATTGAAACCAAGATCCTCGGGGACACAGAATATGGTTGAGGTCAATCCCATGAGGACTGGGTTCTTGGGTTTCGTTGCTCCGGGTCAATCCCATGAGATTGGCCAAAGTAGTTATTATTGTTTGTTTGTTTTGTGATGACCGTGCAAAGCACGACTCGGAGCCGTCGACACCAACATACCCTGTGACCCAACCTCCCAAGATGAACACCAGAACATATAGAGAATAGCTTAAGAGAGGAGGTTTTTGAAAGCCTCTTGAAACAGGACAGTCTTTAGCATCCTCTTAAAGGATGGGAGAGAGAGGGTCTGAATTTCCTCTCTCGGGAGCCCATTCAATAAAGATGGGGCCATGACTGAAAAGGCGTGATTTCTATAGACAGTCTCTTTGGCCTCTCTTGGTGCGGCAGGCCTGAGAAGAACAGGTGGTACAGGCTGATGTTTTGAGAGAGAGAGAGAATCTGGTCATTAGGAACGTTGAGTTTTGCCCTTAAGAGACCCTCTCTCCTTTGTTCAGTAACCCCTGTTGAATTGTGGGATTAACCCTGGGGAAGAAGGAAGAAGAGACGCCTTTAAGAGAGTCCTTTTGAGTCAATGTACCTTCAAGTTGACGGATGCGGGCACTCCGTAGGTCCAGCAGCCGGGCCATCTGCTGTTCCTTTTCCTCATGATCCTCCTTCTCCCGGGTGACCTGCAGCATCATGCCTTCCAACTCTGCCTAAAACCAGGATATTTTCCAAAGAAAACACAGTATGGTAGGACACACGCACACACCCCGTATCCGTGGGACCGGAATCCACAGTTTCACTTATCCGCAGTTTGAAAATATTAAAAGAAAAAAATAGAAATACATATTTTCATGATGTACTTACCATGATTTTTAAAAAAATAGCAGGAAGGTGTATCGGGGGGTGTCTCAGTTTATAAGATAGCTCTGGAACCATAGGAAGCACGTGACGAGATATCGTAGAATGGTGTTGTACGGAGGGAGGTACCGTATTTTTCCGTGTGTAAGACACCCCCATGTATAAGATGCCCTCCACTTTTCTAATCCAAAATTAAGAAATCTAAGTGGGGCTTAGCAAGTATAAGGGGAAAGGGATCAAAGCGCTGCAGAATCGCTTTGACCCCTGCTTTCCCCTCCACTTGTTTTTGTTCTCTGCTCAGTTTACTTCCTTGTATAAGATGACCCTCAATTTTTAGTTTAAAGATTTTAGACAAAAGTATAGTCTTATACACGGAAAAATACGGTAAGTTGAGGAGAGATTTCTTAATGACAGTATGGATGCTAGCCAATACGTACTATGCCTGTTCATTTAAAATACAGACTGGCAGACCTTGCTTACCACTGATCTCAGCACTGGGAAGGATATTGTTTGCCTGAGCAGTACGGGGTGCCCCGGCTTCTAGAATAGAGGAGCTACTGAAATAATGCTTTGTTTGTCAACATGTACATTCACAAGCCCATCAAAAGTCTCTCTATTCCAGCACTCAGGCTTTTAAAAAAGCCTTTCTGTTTTACCTGGTAATCCCGGTTGATGCGGTGTTGCAGAATAAGCATGTCTCGCGTTTTCTCCAGTTCCAGCACCGTCTCCGCGTGGGCCGCTTCCGTCTCATGAAGTTTCCGCTTCAGGCTCTTTTGAGATGGCATCTCTTCCTTCTCATCCTCTCTCTCCAGAATGTTTAAGTACCCAGGCTGCTGAGAAGACAAGGTAGGGGAAAGGACGGGAGTTTGGAAAACATTCCTGTTTTCAAAGACGATTCCCAGAATCTTCCACTCGGACGCCGGATTTTGGGAATCAGGAGCCCAAGAACAAATAGGGATCCAAGGTTGGGAACCACCAGGGTAGAGGGACGGATGAGGACGCTGGAGACTTGGGTTTGAATCCCAGCCGAGCCATCGAAAATCAAGCAGGAGACGGAGTGGGGCAATAGCAAAACCACTTTTTAAATATCTCACGTCCCTAGAAAATCCTATTAGGATTGCTCTGAGTTGGTTCTGGCATGTAACACATACACATGGGGGACAATTTAGTTTCTCAGACCCACTGCCTTGAAGTGACATACATAGCGCTACTGCGGATGTATTAGATATATTTATAGCCTGCTGTTCCTCCAACGCGCTCTTCCTCTCACTGTTCTCAAAACAGCCATGCGAGGTGGGACTGCCTGGAGGGTGGGACTGATCTGAGGTCCCCTGGCAACGATCAGGCCACGAACCTCAAAGTCTTTACACCGAGTGCGACACCTGATCCATGGCGTTATAGCAGCCCAGACAGCGAAACCTGTTCTCTCCAGGCCCTCCCTACCTGAATCAAAGGGGAGGGAGGTTTTTCCATGCTGGTTTTCCGCTCTTCCAAATGGCTTCCCTTCTCCTGCCAGGGGTGGGCTTTGCGTTCCTGGCCCAGCGGCCGCTGCTTCATTTCTTGCTCCAGCTCCTCATTCCGAGCTTAAGGAAAAAGAGTCGCGTTCCTGGCCCAGTGGCCGCTGCTTCGTTTCTTGCTCCAGCTCCTCGTTCCGAGCTTATGGAAAAAGAGACAAACACTTTTTTGGGGGGGGGGGAAATCACAGGATTACCACCCGGTGTTGCTTTCCATAAGCCTGTCAATTAATTCCCTTTGCCTCGTGTTGTCACCTCAGTCCCGTTGCTAAACAGGGCAAACTTTTAAACGCAGGCACGTTAGCAAAAGGAAGAAGGTGCAACAGCCGATGAAGGAACAGCAGGAATGACAAAGGTAAACCGACCTCTGCTAACAAGCCCTCTGCAAGCCACAATCTGAACCTGTGTTAAGAAACAACTGGAGGTTGGGAGTTCGATTCCCTACTGTGCTTTCTTGACAGGGGCTAGACTGGATGATCTAACGGGACCCTTCCAACTCTGGAGTTATAAGATTCTTAGTATGTATTATTATTTGTAAGCCTTTTCGTGGTACCCAAGCTACGGTTTACCCTCAGCTTGTTTCATGAACAACCTTGAAACAGGAGCTGGTAGGGAGGGTGGGAGAGCAAGAAAGTAGAAATGTGGAAGGTGTTTGGGTCGCCGGCTGTGCAGTTTGTGGCTTTGGCGTGTTGAGCGCTAATGCTTATGACAAATAACACAAACCAATAGGGAATAAAGAGACAACCAGGTAGACTTTACGCTGAAATACACTGGATATCCGGTGTGGTGTAGTCGATAGAGTGATGGACTAGGATTCAGGAGCCCTCGGTTTTAATCCTTGCTCATTCATGGAAGCTCACTGGGTGTGTGTGTGGAACTGGTAAAGCCGCTCCTTAAATATCTCAGCTATTCTGAAATCTCGATGTGGCAGCACATAACGCCACCAACAGGCAGATTTAGGTTTCTCTCCTTTCCTTTCTCTAAGTATCTACTGGCCAATATGCAGATTGCAATTCATACTCCCAACTTCCTTCCTGCTTCTTCTCCAAAGAGAGTGAGTTGTTGTCCTTTCTTTGTCTTTCAAAGCAACACCTACACATTCTCTATGATGGCTGCAAGCACACCCAGATTCATGAAAAATAGCTCTAGTCCTTTTGTAAACTAGAGTTAGCAACAGGATGTTAAGCTAATTGAAGATTTCAACCACACCCCACCCCAACTATCTTTGGCTGGATATCCAAAACTAGTAAAATGCAGATTTTCTTCCTTTTTAAAATATTCTTAGCTTTCCAAATATTTATTGCATTCCACTGGATACCAGCCCAGCATCAAACTGCTATGCTTAGCTATTATAAATGCCCACTATTTCCCAATGAAGCAACAAACCATGGTTAATGCAAACCATGGCTTATTGCAACGTCTACACGTCATCTCTTTTTTCCAATCAGAGGCTTTTCATGCAGCACCAGCAAAATGCCAGCTTCCAGTCTACAGTGGTGCCTCGCTTGACAAGGATAATTCGTTCCATTCACATCGCTGTTAAGCGAAATCCTTCTCAAGTGAAATGAAAAAGCCCATTGAAATGCATTGAAAACTGGTTCAATGCGTTCCAATGGGCGAAATACCTCAGCATCCAGCGAAGATCCTCCATAGGGCGTCCATTTTCCAGTGCCTGTAATACGAGGAATCCGTCCTAAAGCAAACCGGGGAGCCATTTTGCACAGTGGGCGGCCACTTTGAAACCCGACGGTCAGCTGTTTTTGATCATCGTTAAGCGGAAAATCGGTTCCCGAAGCAGGGAACCGATCATCATAAAACGGAAAAACCCCATTGAATCATCGTTTAGTGATTACACAGCGATCATAAAAAACTAATCGTCAAGCAATTTCCTCATCTAACGAGGTAATCGTCAAGCGAGGCACCACTGTACTCCGTTACCTCTTTCGTTTTCAAGCTGCTGCTCAAGGTTTCTCTTCTCCGTCATCAGTGCGGTGAGTTGTTCTTCCAGGGTGTTGTCTTTCTGGGGTGGCTCATCCACCTTTTCCTGAGCCGTGCTGATGCAGCTAAATATTCCCGGGGGGCGGGGAGAAACACCATATTTTAAAGGTGCTACAAGCCACTTCCAAGACAACAATGGTGGCTTTTCGGAGGAAACACCTCCAATGGTACATAGCAGTTGCTTATCTTTGCTGTAATCCTGTACATACCTCTCCAGGAGCTTGTCATGATTCATCTTCAACAGATCACGTTCTGCTTCCAGGTCGCTGACGCGCTCCTGAAACTGGAAAAGGTGGACATGGGATTCCTTTGATGCCAGAAACCTTGGCTAGACTCCCTGATCAAATGGGGAGAGTCCCACGAAATACCCTAGCTGGCCCAATTTAACAAGGGGAAATCCTAAAATACAAGAAATACTCATAACAAGGGCTGAAAAGCATACAAGGCAGGAGAACTTTGAGAGGAGAGGGTGCCTGCTGGTAGACCATCACGGGATGATTGACGAGGGGTTCTTTCTTATCTGCAGTCGTTGATCAAGCAGAGAAGCACCTAGGCCAATTTAAGCTGTGAAAAATCCATGATCTGGCCTTGCTCAGGGTCAAATCACACATTGAGAAAAAAAAATGCATGTTTCCTGCTTTCATAATGTTTTCCCTCCAGGCACGCAATTCCTTCAAACCTCCATGCCCGAATAATCTGACTAGTAGATGTCAGCCCGATTGAGGGAAACTCCTGGGAATGTGTGTGGCACACATGAAATGTACTTATTTCCTTTAAGGATGCATAAACCAATGGGAGAGGAAGGGGCTCTGAATCACATGGAGAGCCTCTGCAGAAAACAGGAATCTGTCATACTGGCCAAGCTGTCCCCCACACAAGGAGAGATCAGTGGTGGGGGGAACAAATCATGTACACTCTTCTCCTTTCCTGGGCAGAAAGAGCCTAAACAGCTTTTTTAAAAAAACATTTATATCCCACCTTTCCTCCAGGGAGCTCAAGACAATATGGAACTGCCTGGATTTCCCGAGTTCTAGCCAAATGCTCTTAACTGCTACACCACCTTTAAGTGTAGAGAGAAACAAGGTGATAAAAGGAATGGACGAGGGGTGCAAAGGATCTGGATTAGGTAAACCTGGTATATACGCCACACCATCGATTCTATTTCTCCCAAATCCCTTTTGAGAGCCCACAGGGATCCTGGGCTGAGGAACATCCACGGCCCGTCGGAGTTTCTATTGGCCAGGAGGTGCTTTTCTGAGGATTCCCCAGACCTTTCCCCCATCGCCTCCATCCCCATCGGCAAACTCCAGACTCGCTGAATCTGTGAGCTGTACTTCAAAAACTGCATTTCCACCCCAAAGCCTTGGTGTAGAAGAGATCGGACAGACATCCATTCTTGGAGAGACTTTCTTGGAACAGCTCACCTCTTTCAGCACCTCCTGGAGGGGAGAAAGCGTCTCTATTTGGCTTTCTAGGGCAGCCACCTTCCGGGTCTCCTCTCGGAGCAAGGTGCTGAGTTCTTCGACCTGAGCGAGCAAGGCCCCACTAGCTGAACTTAATGCTTCTTGGTTCTGGGGGGGGAGGCAAAGAAGAGAAGAGAGCGACAACGATCATGAGATCCCGAAGCCTTCTGGTATATGGGAGACCCGAGTTCAAATCCCGCCAAGTAGAACTAGGAAAATTACCTGCTGGAGCTGGGTCTCGTAAGCCTAGTGGGAAGGAAAGAAAAGGCCTGAATTAACAGGGATGCAGGGAAAAGTCTTCCTGATTGGGTTTTTTATCACCATTCTCTCTACAAAGATGTAAAATAGATGGATCAATGGTACAAAAGAGCTAGCGCATCCCTCTCGGTGAGGCTGAATGGTTTAGGTACCTGTCGGTGGAGCCCAACGTTGGGGGTTTGATTCCCCACTGGGCCCCCACGGTGTTGCACAGTTTGCCCCCAGAAATAAAGAAGGGTAAACCCCTTCTGAGTCCTCTTCACCTGGGGAGACCTTGAAAAGGGTCACCATAAGTCAGAACTGACTTGAAAGCACGTGTTCCTTCTAGAGACTTAATTCCTCCAGAGCTCCTTGCCTGAGCAATCAGCCAGTAAATGAAGCCCATGCTTACCTCTCAATGACTAATCACACAAGAAACCCATGCTAGGATAAACAGATCTTTCTCTGAAGGGAGTTCAATTTCTAATGACATGTTATATAGATGGCATTCATTTAACCAAGCCCTCATCTCCTCGTTCTCTATTATACCCAGAAGCAAAAGTTGTGAGGATCAGGAATCCACAAGGTCCAGGCGAGGGCAACGTTCATTTAACGGCACCAAGTTTGCTGTGCACTGACTTTAGAACCCATCCACCTTTACCATCCATAAAAAGGGAGTAGAAAGGAGAGTTGTCTAGAGCAGCAGGTTCCCAACCTTGGGTCCTCAGACGTTCTTGGACTACAACTCCCAGAAATCCTGGCCAGCACAAGGAGTAGTGAAAGCTTCTGGGGTTTTTGGTCCGAGAATATGTGGGGACCCAAGGTTGGGCACCGCTAAAGATTAGCAACATCAGCAATTATAACAGCATGATTATGACAGCTTAGAAACCCATCTTCCCATGTGGCCTTCTGGATGTGTCATCATACTGGCAGGTGATTGTAGATGCTGCCATCCAACATCCCCACAGGACTAAAGGTTGGGGATCTGCTTAAGAAGAGCATGCAGGGCTGATTCTGTCAAAGTGGCCGAGCCAAGGAGGAGTCGTGACTCAGGCATTGTGGCGGGCTGGGGTTGGTGGCGAATCCGTTCCTGGTTTTACTCTGAACTTTGCAGGCGCTGTCCCCAAAGTGCTGAACCTCGTTTGGGGAGAGGACTTGGTACTGGATAACTATTGTAAAGTTCAGAGTAAAAGCCAGAGCAGATTTAGTGCCACAACTGATTGGCCGTTGAAGTGATCCAGCTCCCCCAGGCGAGACTCACTTCCTGTAAGCCGGTGAACTGGACTTTGACTGCCACCAGCTCCGAATTCTTCGCCCGCAGAAGCTTCTGCAGCCGAATCAGTTCCAAGTTGTCCCTGATGGCAGCCCTGGGAGACGTAAAGGAGACGCACAGATGGGAGTTGTTGAATATGGAGAAAAAGAACCATCGTTGGCTATGAACCCAACCACTCCCACACCCACTAGAAATGAGCGACAGCCTTTTTGTTAAAAGCCAGAACAGTCCAGCAGAAATGAATACATTCAAGCAAGGCCCCCGTGTTTGGGAAAAATTCCAAATTCTCAAGGAAATCAACCCGAACGAAGCGAAACCGTCGGCTTCAGTTCCAGGACAACGTAAAACTAATTAAGGAATCTAATCTGCAAGAATCTCATCCCATTTCTCAGGTAATTAATTGGTTCCTGGAACGAGCTGTCCTTTTGGCTCCTGCCTTCAATTAGTTCTTTAATTAGGGGGAATCTGTCGATGCTCTTTGGGGTTTGCTCCGTTAGTAATTTGAGTGTGGGTGGGCGTTCTGAATGAAAATGGGTGTTCTTACTCCAGTAAAGATAGAGCCGTATCATCATTTCAGATTGGCTGGATCTCTGCTCACTGGGAATGGCTGGATTATGTAGTCCAAAAAACCCTCAGTTATCTGATATATCTGCAGCGAGGGGCATAATCGTTATCCCCTTGAAAATGTGAAGCAAATGAATTAGCAGAATGGAACTGAATATTCAAGGAGGGACAGTGGGGAATCGAACTCCCAGCCTATGACTCCGCTGCCAGAGACCTAAGCCCGTCTTAGAAACCTTTATCACCAGCCATGATGGCAAACGGCTTGTGGAGCAGAAGCCCAAAACCAAAGGAGGACCACAAGTTGAAAATCTCCGATCTAGAGCCATGCTAAGAGAAGGATTCTGGGAAATGTAGTTCCCAAAAGCTGAGTTCCTCGGCTCTGCTTAAGATCAGTTGCAATGTTCCTTTCAAGTTACAGTTCCTTTCAAGTTCCTTTCAGGTTTTTATTTAGGTGTGTGTTTATTTCACACTGCTACCTGGTAGGGCTAGGAGGCTTCTACATTTAAACGTTGTTTTTTTAAAAACAACAAGTAAACAAAAAATCCCACAACTGTGTCAAGATGAGGACTAGGAATGTGCCATTCAGGGTCTTCGTGTGAGTGTGTGGATTCCAAATCCTGGAATTCTCCGAGAATTTCCCAGGCAGGACTCTGAGAGGGGCGGTCTAGATGCAAAAGTCTACATCTGGACCCGGCGCTCACCATGGAGGCCCAGGTGTCGTCAGCGGTCCATTCTGCACATTTCCACCTTCGGCGGATTGCCCAGCTGCGTTCCTATCTTGATGTGGGGGCGCTCACCACTTTGGTCCATGTGCTCGTAGTCTCGAGATTAGACTACTGTAATGCACTCTACGGGGGGCTGCCTTTGAGACTGACGCGGAAACTCCAGGTGGTGCCGAATAAGGCGGCCAGACTTCTTACTGGGGTGAAATGGTATCACCATATTTCCCCCACGCTGGCCGCCTTGCATTGGCTGCTCATTCATTTCCATGTTGATTTCAAAGTTCTTACGATTACATATAAAGCCCTAAACGGTTTAGGACCTCGATATCTGGCAGAGCGCCTTCTCCCACCCAGTTCTGCCAGAAGACAGACAGACAGACAGACAGACAGACAGACAGACAGACAGACAGACAGACAGACAGACAGACAGACAGACAGACAGACAGACAGACAGACAGACAGACAGACAGACAGACAGACAGACAGACAGACAGACAGACAGACAGACAGACAGACAGACAGACAGACAGACAGACAGACAGACAGACAGACAGACAGACAGACAGACAGACAGACAGACAGACAGACAGACAGACAGACAGACAGACAGACAGACAGACAGACAGACAGACAGACAGACAGACAGACAGACAGACAGACAGACAGACAGACAGACAGACAGACAGACAGACAGACAGACAGACAGACAGACAGACAGACAGACAGACAGACAGACAGACAGACAGACAGACAGACAGACAGACAGATAAAGTCAACCCTTTACTAACGAACGTCCCTACATATGAACTTTTTGATTTACGAATGGCTCCGTTGGCAAAAATTGGCGTGAGGTTGAGGCACCGTTCGAAAGTTAGTGCCATTTTTTTTGTGAACGGAGCGATCGGTGCCTTCGGAGGTCTCAAGGGGCTTTCCCCCCAACATCGGAGGAAGCTGTTTGAGACCTCCAAATGCAAAAAAGGCAGTGGGAAAGGGCTAGAAATTCAACTATCCCACCCTTTCCCCCTGCCTTTTTGCCTTCAGAGGTCTCAGACAGCTTCCTCCAATGTTGGGGGAAAGCCCTTTGAAACCTCTGAAGGCACTGCATGAATTTTTTGACGTACGAACATCGTTCCAAAACGGATTAAGTTCGTAACTCGAGGTACCACTATAAATACAGACCGGCTGTATTCACTTCCATTGTTACCTGCTTTTTTTGGAGGGGGTGTCTGTTCCTACCTTCAGAAACAAGGACACTCTCCTGAGGTTTCTCTGGAGGTGGAGGTGTTCCTCAGAGGTGTGGTTTTGCTACCCATGAATGCAGGGCCTCTCCCAAAGGAAGTACTATGGCAGCTTCCTTTTTGAACAGGAAGCAAGGCCTGACGTAGACCCTGGTCCAGGTGAGCAAAATATAGGTATATGTAGCTACCTTTAGGGGTGAGCCTGTGGACTGAATTCTCAGGATTGTGCCTGGGGAATTCTGGGGAAATTGTGGAAGATAGTGTCTTTTTAAAAAAGCAAAAACAAACCGTTCTTCCGAAGTGAGCACATACACGGCCTATGTGTTAGAGAAGGAATGAAAACTGTACCGGCGTTCCTGAGCCTCCAGGTGGAGCTGCTGAGAGCGGCTGCTTTCTGGGTCCGTCTCTCGGCCACGTGCGGAACTCAACGACTCAGGATCCAGTTCCAACTCAGCCAAGACAAGGCTGTGAGTTCTGAAAGGCAAAGTAAAATATCTCCTTATCCTCTGGGAAAAGAGAGCAAACCATAATTAATATTTTTTTTCTACCTTAACCTAGTGAAAATTTGTTTTTGTTTCTGAGGCTGATCTTTCCCCAGTCCTGAGCATAAACATAAAGAAAAGACACCACCGTGAGATAAGACAGGGTTAAGGACTCAGAAAAGTTCCTTTTTTCATACTACAGCTCCCAGTTAACCCCCAAGCAGCATGGTTAGGGGGGCCTTTTCTGACTTCAGGGTCCAGGAAGATCTAATCCAAAACAAATCAACTTCCCTAAATTCAGGTCTATCAGCTTGAACAATGGATGGCTCTCTTGTGTCTGGTTTGACATGGCGATACCAAGTCGTAGGGGTGCCGATACGGCCAGCACATGAGATTCTCATAATCGGCCATTTGCCAGAGTGGCTTAGTTTGGTTTTGATTGCTTTTTGAGGGCTTAAAACAAAGAACCTCAAGTTTCTGTGGAAAAAGTTCTTAACTGTTAGAGCAGTACGACAACGGAACCAATGACCACGGGAGGTGGTGAATGTTCCAACGCTGGAGGTCTCCAAGAGAAAACTGAACAACTCTCTGTCAGATCTGCTTTGATGTGGATTCCAGCTTTGAGCAGGGGGTTGGACTTGATGGCCTTATAGACCCTGTCCAACTCCGTGATTTTGTGATTTTTAAGGCTCAGACCCCTGAGGGTGGGACGAGCGGGGACTCAAGACTCACAGTTTCTCCATCTCCGCTTCTGGAACGTGTAAAATATCTCCTTATCCTCTGGGAAAAGAGAGCAAACCATAATTAATATTTTTTTTCTACCTTAACCTAGTGAAAATTTGTTTTTGTTTCTGAGGCTGATCTTTCCCCAGTCCTGAGCATAAACATAAAGAAAAGACACCACCGTGAGATAAGACAGGGTTAAGGACTCAGAAAAGTTCCTTTTTTCATACTACAGCTCCCAGTTAACCCCCAAGCAGCATGGTTAGGGGGGCCTTTTCTGACTTCAGGGTCCAGGAAGATCTAATCCAAAACAAATCAACTTCCCTAAATTCAGGTCTATCAGCTTGAACAATGGATGGCTCTCTTGTGTCTGGTTTGACATGGCGATACCAAGTCGTAGGGGTGCTGATACGGCCAGCACATGAGATTCTCATAATCGGCCATTTGCCAGAGTGGCTTAGTTTGGTTTTGATTGCTTTTTGAGGGCTTAAAACAAAGAACCTCAAGTTTCTGTGGAAAAAGTTCTTAACTGTTAGAGCAGTACGACAA